TTCTTGTAACTGTTGGGATGTCATCCTTTTAACGGGTAAGTATTGGGGTTCTTTTGTAGTGGTGGGTTTAGGAATAGGGTTGGCCGATTTAGGGGGTGGGGATGGGGGGTACTGAAAGGAGGAAGAGGAGCGGTTGAATTTAGGTTTGGCATCCTTTAGTTTGGCCTCAATTAGTTTAGCCAGCCCAATGGCCTGAGATATGGTTTGGGGTTGAAATAAGGCAATTTCATTTTGAATTTCTGGAAGTAACCCCGAAATAAAACAGTTCTTAAGCACTTCAGGAGGTATACCAAAAACTCGATTGCTCAATTTCTCAAAATTAACCTGAAAATCAGTAACTGAACCTGTTTGACGTAACTTCAGTAATTCCCCCTGATGATTTTCATAAGATGAAGGGCCAAAACGAATTTCTAAGGCTCGAGCAAAAGAAGTCCAATCCCCTAATTGGTTGTTGTGAAACATCCATTTAAACCAGCTCAAGGCAGCACCTTGCATATAAAAAGCCACAATAGGAACCCTTTGATCCCATGGTACCTGATAAAACATAAAGTATTGGTCTGCCTGAAAAAGCCAATCTAAAGGGTCCGATCCATCAAAAGGGAGCAAATTGAGTTTAGGGGGTCGGATTTGGGAGTGTGGGATGGCATTCAAAGGTGGGATTGGTGGGGCCAAGGATGAAGAAACGGGGGGTATGACAGAAGATGACAAAAAAGGTAATGACGGAGGTACTGTGGTAGAAATGGGAAAACTGGAGGGACCATAACCAAAGGAGTGTGGGGCCGCGGTGAATATGGGGGGTGGTCGAGGGAAGGAAGGTTCACCAGGTGGAAAAAGTGGGAGGGCCATATTGGGAAAAGGAGGGGGAAAATTGTGTGATCCAAAAGTGGTGCCGTTAGTGGGGAAAGAAGAAACGGTAACAGAAGGTCCGGATGATGAGTTGGGGTTATTAAAATGGGTTCGTAGGGTATCCATGATAGTGGACAAGGATTCTTGGTTTTGGGCAATGGCTGCCTGCATGGTAGAGTATTGAGACTCAAAGGAAGCCACTTGGGAGTCAAACTGGGATTGGAGGTCTTGGAATTTGGTGGAGAGATGGGTAATGGGGTCATCTTCTTTCGAAGAACGAGGAGGCATGAGGGAAATGAAAGCACCAAATAATAGAGGATTGCTAGAGAACAATTCTACACTAGGTTAATGCTAAGAAGATACTCATTCCTTGCTTTCAAAAGTCCTTACAATCCAATAAAAAGGAAATTTCAAAGACTCTGGTTCCTACACGTGTAGGACCTTGATTCTAGGTTAAGAAAACAGAAACAACAACTGGAACAATTTGTTGGACTCCCATTTGAACTATTGGCCTTTTTAAGGCCCAATTCCTTAAATCATGTAATCTTTAAATTTGAGAGGGCTTGTTTTGTTTCGTTTGGGCCTTCCACCTGTATCATATATCGCCGTTCATTTCAGCGGTGAAAAAACAGGCACGTAAGTTGAAGGAAGCATTTGAAGTTTGGCACGAAGAAGAGGTCTCTGACTCTGACCAAGAACGTGCAAGAAACCTCAATGCCGACGCGTGCCATGGCCATGTTACCAAGATTGTGTGGCAGCCACGACGAGGGGATGGATGACCAGGAACACAGAAATCGCATTGAGTTTGATCAAAGGTCCATGGACGACGCCAGCCAATACAGCCTCCAGGGCATTCCGCTCCCTTCCCTCGGCGCCACCGCAGTCCCCAGCTGTCGGAGGACCAATCTCCGTCCATACATTGTCTCGCCCTACACCCATTATTACAAGTACCTACTTTCTATTTATGTCGCATCTACATCTTTTCACTTCTTTATTTTTTTTTTTCCTTCTTTTCTATGTGTCCATAGGATCATGCTTTCGGTTTTAAGCCTTCTAGACACTACGGATATTGCACATTACTCCATCCTTTATTTGCAAAAGGATCCCGTTAGTTGAACAATTCATGCTAGTCAGGACAAAACTTAAAGTATTAATGTGAGTAATGGAGGAGTGTGTACCCTCCAAGCTCCATCCACATGTTGAGTAACCGTAAGTCTCTTTCCACTTTTGTGTTTCAGGTTATTAGGGGTTCTGTATCCACTAAATGCAAAGCTAATCAAAGTAATATATATAAACATGTTGGGACTTTTGGAAATTATTTTCCAGAGGATCTCAGATATATTAATACACTCAAACACTAGTTTATAACCTTCCCCGTGGATTTAAGAGCCAATAAATTACACTCTTTTCTTTGAATGTTTTTGGACAACTGTTGGAGTTTTTCAACGAGGTCCTTCTTACTGGAACATAGACATTTGTTGCTAGGACGAAGATTATAAGGATTAAGAAGTACTTTTTTTTTATAAAAAAAAATAAAATAATTTATACTGCTTGTTGTTGATTAAATCTTTTTTAAAATGATGAAACTATGAGCGAGTTAAAAAAGAAGTAAATCGCACTAAACTGGGAGGGGTTTGAACATGTTGATTTTGCGAGGCTTTGTTAAAAAAGGACTATATCACAATTTTAAAAACATTGGCTTAAGGTTGCTTTTTACTGGGAATCAGAGAGCCATCATACGAAATCAAGTCCATCCCAAAATTCACCTTATTTACTATCTATATATTCATATGATCTTGACCAAATCGGATGGCTGCAGTTAGATGCAGCGGTAACTGTTGAATGAATATCACGCCGCTCAAATCTCGAATACCTAATATACCAAGATAAAATATGAACTGTCTATTCCGAATTGCTTATTGTGTGAATACGTTAAAATACTGACTACAGGGAATTCGGATCCGTTAATCAAACACGGTTTGGTCTTGCGGAAGGAGCCTCACAAAAGTGGGCTTAACTATGGGATATATCCTCTTATTGTGGACAATAACGAACAAAGATAGTATTACACTTTTAGTTTTCTTTAAGTAAACTTGAATTATACACTTACTAATGAAAATGTTGCCATGAGAATAGTCCTACGATGTCATGAGTGTGAGTCTGATACACCATTGCCTTTCTTGCAAGACACATGATCTCCAATAGAAAACATATATTTTGTTATGTATTTCAGGTTCTTGCTACATTTTAAATTACATACATAATTAATGTTTCCTTTCATGTTTCATGGGGCAAATGCAGATTGTGGGAGAATTTTCTGGTGTTCTTAGTTTTCTACACTGCATGGGTTTGCCCTTTTGAGTTTGGCTTCCTTAATAAACCGAAGGATCACCTTTCCATTGCTGACAATGTGGTGAATGCGTTTTTTGCCGTTGACATTGTTCTCACCTTCTTTGTTGCCTACCTGGACAAGGTTTCATATCTGCTCGTGGACCAACCAAAGCTCATTGCCTTGAGATATGCCAAAACATGGCTTGCATTTGATGTCATTTCTACCATCCCTTCTGAACTTGCCCACAAAGTGTTGCCCGGTCCTCTTAAGACATATGGCTACTTCAATATACTCCGTCTTTGGCGCCTCCGTAGAGTTAGTGCCATGTTTGCAAGGTAATTGTCTTGCATTTGTATTGTATTTTGGGTTAACAGTTATTTAGTAGGTAGACAATTCATATATATTTATATTGAAGTTTCAAACGTTTCTTCATCTTGAATTCATAACTAGTAATAACTTATTTGGAAGTTTAATTAAAGGCAAAAGATTAAACTCAGGCTTGAGTTGAGGCGCAGTACATTTTTTATTGGATCTTAAATAGGAGTTGATATGATATTCCTCTTCTTCTTTGTCAGATTAGAAAAGGACAGAAATTTTAACTACTTCTGGGTGCGCTGTTCAAAGCTTATATGTGTAAGTATTTCTTTTATTAAAGGGTTTATTTGGAATTGACTAATAGCATAAAGATTTTTTAGAATGAAAATCACTGACTTTTGTGATGACTAGTTTAAAAGTCGTACCTAAAATGTTATCTGATGAGTTGATTATGTAAAATACACTAGTAGTATGTCAAAATTAAATTCATTATTTAATTACATAATTTATTTCTTGTTAGACTTGGCGACTTAATATATATACAACAACCTAACTTATGAGCCTTGATATGCTTTGCATTTGCAGGTTACTCTATTTTCAGTGCATTTTGCTGCCTGCTTTTACTATTTTCTTGCGCTAAATCATGAACAACGATCAACATGGCTTAGCTTGGCTACTGAACTCTCTCAAGACAATCTTTGGAGTCTCTACGTAACATCAATGTACTGGTCCATATCGACTCTTTCATCAGTCGGTTATGGTGATCTGCATCCAGTAAATACCAAGGAGATGGTATTTGACATAATATACATGCTCTTTAACCTGGGACTAACGTCATATCTAATCGGAAACATGACAAACTTGGTTGTTCATGGGACAAGCAGAACTAGGAAATATGTAAGTATCATCATTTAAATCATAAAACTTTCAAATATTTCTTACTTGTCCTGAATGATTTTTGGAATCCTTTTTTAGCAAGTCAATATTTATTGCTAATAAATGGTATAAGGAAGCCTCTTAGTACATTTTTTAATGATTTAAAACTAAAAAGTATTATATATATGATTAGCCTTCTGATCCGAGAAAACTATGACCTTATGGAATTATTATCCACAAGTAACATCATTATGGTGGTTCTAGAATGTAATATTTTTGGTCTTTAAATCCCTTCTAACAGTTCCAATAGTATTCTGATGTCTTTTTTTTTGTTGGTCACTTTGTGGCATATAAAGAGAGACACGGTGCAAGCTGCCACAGGTTTTGCCCATCGGAATCAGTTACCTATCCGCTTGCAAGAACAGATGCTTGCTCATTTGTCTATGAAGTACAGAACTGATTTAGAAGGATTGCAACAACAAGAAATTATTGAATCCCTTCCAAAGGCTATTCGGTCTAGCATCTCACACTACTTATTCTATTCACTGGTAGACAAATTGTATTTGTTTCGTGGAGTGTCAAGTGACCTACTCTTTCAACTGGTAATATTCTCTTTTTGGTCTTGTTATATAATTCTGTGATCAAGGTGCTAAAACATAACAGTGTGAAGTTTTCGGTGTAAAAATCCATTTAGAATTAACAAGCCCCTAGAGAGACAAAAGAGAAAAGAAAAAGAAAGTTGAGAATCTTTCTTCACGATTCAATATGAAATTAACTGATACTTGACTTCAAGAACAATGACGTTGTATATCTGCTTTCTGATAATCCTTGTATATTAGATGATTAATAACTGTTTTATATATGTTCATATCTTGAACTGTCGCAATTGAAAATTTGAAGGTTACGGATATGAAGGCCGAGTATTTTCCTCCAAAGGAAGATGTGATTTTGCAGAATGAAGCGCCAACAGACTTTTATATCTTTGTTACCGGTGCTGCAGTAAGAAACTATGTCCTCTCTTTATTTCCATTCACTTCATATATGCGCCAAGTAGTATGTAGAAAACCAAGTGCATGATTTAAAGTAAATGAAAACAAGGAAATTAACTGTTATTTTTGTTTTATTATGATTAATTTCCGTTTATTGTATTTGGAATGTGTATTTCTCAAATGTCCTTTCCCCATTCTAAAGAGAAACTGAGCTTTCATTTTCTTCTGATGGACAGGAAGTTATCACTATAAATAATGGAATGGAACAGGCAAGTCTAGTTAGAATAACACCTTTATGAATAATCCCTGCCAATATGAAACCTTGTCTCTATGACTAACAAAGTATTGTCTGAAATAATTGCAGGTCGTTGGTGAGGTAGTGTCAGGAGACGTAGTTGGAGAAATAGGAGTTTTATGTTACAGGCCACAGGTGTTTACAATTCGAACCAAACGACTGAGCCAAATTCTTCGCTTGAACCGTACTACATTTCTAAATATTGTTCATTCAACGCTTGGAGATGGGACAATAATCGTGAACAATTTTCTCCAGGTATGTAAAGTACATGCTTGATGATGATTATCATGCCTATCTAGTTAGGTTTCAGATTTATTCACGTAATGTTTTGCACACAATCTTTTCAATTTGTAGTTTCATCCGTATAACATTTTCTTAATGTCTTGCACTTTATGACGCGTGATATATATTTTGTTGCACAGCATCTGAAAGAATCGAGGTATACAGGGATGGATGTTATTTTGGCAGAAACGGAGGCCATGATTGCTCGAGGCAGAATGGATATGCCCATTACCACATGCTTTGCAGCAGGCAGAAATGATGATCTATTGTTACGTCGTTTGCTTGAGAAGGGTTCTGATCCAAATGAAGAGAATAAGGACGGACAGACAGCACTGGTTTGTTGGCATAAACACATACACATCCATGCATAAGTATACATGTATAGACACAATACTAGACGCTTACAGCTTCATTTTCTCATGTAACAGCATATTGCAGCTTCCAAAGGCAATAAACATTGTGTAACTTTGCTTCTAGAACATGGTGCTGATCCCAATAGCAAAGGTACTTTTCAGTCCTTTAGCACCTAGTTATATTCTTTTCTATGAAACACTCCCTCTCAAAAATAATTACGAACAACTTTTTCATAAAGGAGTATGGGCTAGTACTGGTGATATCTCTAGATTCTGATTGCTTTTATTTATTCAGATAAGGACGGAAATGTACCACTGTGGGAAGCAATTAAGGGGAGGCATGAATCTGTCATCAAACTTCTAATAAACAATGGTGCAGACATATCTTCTGCTGATGCAGGCAATCTAGCGTGCACTGCTGTTGAGCAAAATGACATAGAATTGCTCAAGGAATTAATTCAGTGTGGTGCGGATGTGACACAACCCCAAAAGAATGGAACCACTGCTCTGCATATGGCAGCACTTTATGGAAACGCTGAGCTGATTAGGTTCCTTATAGACCAAGGAGCAGACATTGACAAGCAAGATGCTGATGGGTGCACTCCCAGGGATTTTGCAGAAAAACATGAGCATGAAGAAATTAAAACTATATTCCACAACATTGGAGAGAGCAGAATATCAAAGAGTGACGGCATTAGGAGCTTTCAAAGTGATCCCAGCATGCTTGCTATTTCCCAAGAAAGCATGTCACTGCCATCTACTCAAGAGTCGACTTGGCTTGATAATGGGAGAGGGTCTTCCAGCTCTTATCATAATTCCATTTTTGGAATGATCTCAAAAGCCAATCGTGGTAAGTAAATCTTTGAATAATTGATGATTTAGTAGTGTTTTATAAAGAAAATGCATTTAATGTTTTGGAAATATAAAGCCCATTCAATAGAATAAGTAGGAGGATTTAGAATTATTCTCGGTGATTTTAACTTTAACAACTTATTTTGTGATGCCCAAAAACAGTAAGCAGGTGTTACTTGTTTTTTTTTTTTTTTTTTTCATATTATCCAAAGAATTTAATTAAAATACACCTACATATATACGGTCAAATATCAAACAATCTTGGACTACCATGTCATTGAAAATCATTAACTTATATAATGCTCAAGTTTAGTTAATTGACAATGTAAAGTTGTAAAAATCCTTTATATCGACAATACATCAAACTCTTAGTTTTTGATTCTTTTAACTTATATCTTAAGAATAATTGCTTGGAGAATCCATAATTTAAATCCAAGAATGGATTGATAATAGAGATACATGGGAAATAAACATGTGAAAATATGAAGTATCTTTTTTGTTGGCTATCAGATCGATGACGTTTTGATTTTAACTATGCAGATAGAAGACATCGCCAGACATATGAAAGCAGTAACATTAGTAAAGTTAATGTGAATGAATCAATCAGAGTGACAATTAGTTGTCCAGAAAAAGGTGAACATGCTAGAAAACTTGTTTTGCTGCCCAAGTCCCTTGAAGAGCTGCTAGATATTGGTGCCAGAAAGTTTGATATATCTGTCACCAAAATTGTGACCGCAGATAGAGCTGAAGTTGACGATTTAAATCTTATAAGAGATGGTGATCATCTTATTATTACCGGGGAAACAATAATTGATTCCTAAACCCTTTTGTTGTCATGGGTATCCATTGTTGTGCAATAGTATCTTGCCACTAACTTTTTTTCTCCTTAGTTTTCTCTTAAGAAAGTACTCACATTTGTAACTTGTTGATGACAGGATTATAGCTGATTTTAGATTAGTTTATAGCAGAGAATGGAAATGTTGAGTATGTGGAGTTTGAAGGATTTATTGGGCATGACCAATTTGCCTTTTATCTTTTTTTATAAATACTCATGTAATTGTAAACCTAATCACGAAATAGAAAATACCATCTAGTGCGGTCATGGACGTAGGTTATTTTGACCGAACCACGTAAATCTCTGTGTCTTGTTAATTTACTTTCTCTTTTGTAATTGTGCGTGTGAGTGCGTTTGCGATCCCCAACAATTGGTATCAAGAGCCTAGGGTTTCACACGAGTGGGAGCAATGGTAGAAGATGGGAAAGTGATGATTGATAAGTTCGATGGGAGCGATTTTGGATTTTGGAAGATGCAGATTGAAGATTATTTGTATCAGAAGAGGTTGAAGATTATTTGTATTAGAAGAGGCTGTACCAGCCTCTGTCTGAGAATAAACTAGAAATGATGTCTTAGGAAGATTATGAGTTGCTAGATCGGCAGGTTCTAGGCGTCGTCAGACTAACATTGGCAAAGAATGTCGCCTACAACATTGTCAATGAGAAGATGACATACATTGTTAATTTTTACTTACATTCTAGTACCAAATTTGTTAACACATTCAACTCTTTTCTAACTTTTGATTTATGTAATCCTCAATTTAACTTCTCTTTTGTAAGTAAAGACACTTTGGTTACACATATAGGGTTATACATATTTAATCCTCATTTTTTGTGATTTTTTGGATAGGTAATCATTTTGGAAGAATCCTTGTCAAAGAGAAGAAGTTCGATTGAACCCCAATGAAGCAAGCTAGCATTTTCAGTAGACTCGCGCTGAGCCCATATCTCAGCTCGCTCAACGAACTGGATCAGGCTGAGTTGATGGAGATTTGGCATCACGCTGGGCGTGTTCAATCACGCGCCCGGTGCGCCTTCCGTCACGCACCAAGCGCGTATCGTATCGCGTTGTGTGCGTCACTTAAAGAGTTGCGTAGATTGATATAATTTCTGGTTGAGCGCGAAGAGAGAGGGGTGTGGAAGCAGAACCAAAAGAGGAGCAGAGTGCAGGTCTGAAAGGGAGAAGCTAGGGCTCACCTCTTCACCATTGTTTCTCATTGGTTTTCTCACATTCTCACTCATTTGATGTATCTTGCTAATCTCATGGACATGAATTGCTAAAACCCCTTTGTTGGGGTTAGATGTAGCCAACTTGACTCTCATGTAACTTGTTTGAATATATATATCTATCTTTTTCATTCAAATGTTAGTATCATGTTCCTATGCTTAATGCTTGTATAGAATGATCAACTATTACATGATTGGTGATTACTTTTGGTGTGGGAAAATATCATTGGCAATCTTGTTTGAGAATGTGGTACCTAGTAAACTTGTGTCTAGGAATGGAACATGAGTTACTTGTTGTTTGGAGCCCTTAAATTTTATGCAAGTGGATTTATTGAAGTATTTAAGGGATTGATATTTTGTAATGAAACTTAGGCTCTTTTAACCAAGGAATTGGAATTTGAGAAAATTAGTGGGCTAGCATTAATGTTTGAATGAGAAGGAAAGTTTTTATGCATGAGATTAAAGTTGATGAAGTCTAACCCTAACATTTCATTCATATAAGTCAATCTCCAAAACCGCATTTCAAGTGTTTGATGAAAGTTCACTTTAGTTCATTTTGCCTTTTTTAGCTTAAAAATTACAATCCACCAATTTGAAATCATTCTTTAGTCTGTATTAGCTTAAATTTCACATATTGCCATTGTATTACTCAAGTCTTTTGGGAAGAACAACTATTACTTCTACTTACTACTTGTGTGATTGGTTCGCTTGCCATATTGGAAGAAATCGTTTAACAATGGTTTGATAAAGGCATTATCAAACATGTACGATAAGCCATTGGCATCAAACAAGATATTTATTATTCGTCAACTAGTTAATACGAAGATGGGAGAAGGTGTTAGTGTTAAAGATCATGTGAATGAATTTAATTCCTTACTGTTGAGATTAGTATCAGTGGATATTAAATTTGATGATGAAGTACAAGTCCTATTGTTGCTATCCTCGTTGCTTGATAATTGGTCAGGAACTGTCACAATAGTCGCTAGTACATCTGGGACAAGGTTCCTTATTGAGCACAGAAGGTAGAGGTAGAAGGCCTGAAAGGGGGCAAGGTTCTAAGCGTGATAGATCAAAGTCCAAGAAGTGAGGACAGTCCAAACCTTGCAAGGCTATTATCTATTGGACTTGTCAGCAGAATGGCTACTTTAGAAACCAATGTATTGCTCATTTTTCCCCTAAAGAAAAGAGGCATGACAACACAGTGAATGCAGCATAAGAAGACATTGATGATGCGTTGATCTGTTGCGTTGAGAGTAAGTTTGAATCCTGGATCATGGATTCTAGTGCATCTTTCCATGCTTCTCCTTACAAGGACTTGATGAAAAATTTTAGAACCGAGAATTTTGGCAAAGTTCGTCTAGCAAATGATGAAGCTTTAGACATCATAGGAATGAGAGATATAAATCTTAGAACTTCTGCGGGTACAATATGGACGCTAAAGGACGTTAGATATATTCCAAGACTCGAGAGAATGTTAATCTCTATGGGTATGCTGGATGTTCAGGGATATCGAGTTACATTTGGAGATGGTCAGTAGAAGGTGGTGAAGGGTAATCTAGTTGTTGCTCGCGACTGGAAGAAAGGAACCCTTTACATGGTAGAACTACCTACAGAAGAAGTAAATTTAATTAGTGATGATGTTGGTCACTCTTCGACTCTGTGGCACCAGAGACTTGGTCATATGAGCGAGAAGGGTATAAAGATACTAGTCTCAAAAGGAAAGATTCCATAACTGAAAGAGGTAGAAGTTAGTTTCTGTGAACCATGCGTGTTTGGAAAGCAGAAGAGAGTTACTTTTGCCAGGCCAGGAAGGATGTCCAAGTTTGAGAAGTTGGAGCTTGTTCATACAAATGTGTACGGACCAACATCAGTCTCATCTAGGGATGGCAACGGGGCGGGGCGGGTACGGGTTTTATGATACCCGTCTCCGTCCCCGCGACACAAACTCATCTCCATAAATTATTTTTCTATTATATTATAATTATAATTAGATTATTTATTTATCTCATATTTTAATCAAGAGATTTCTTAATAATTATACAATTATAAATATTTCATATTATAATAAATAATTATACATAATAAAATATTAAAATTTTTTAATGTAATTAAATCGGGTACAGGTATATACACATACCCGTACCCGTACCCGTACCCGGTTTAATTTATCGGGTTTTACCCGTACTCGGTCAAACCGGATATTCCCCGTCAAAGTCGGGACGGGTTCGGGTATTACCCACGGGTACGGGTTAATTTGCCATCCCTAGTCTCATCATTGGGAGGATCACGATATTATATGTCACCTTCATTGATGATTCCACCAGAAAGATATGGGTTTATTTTTTGAAGCAAAAATCAGAAGTATTTAAGACCTTTAAGAAGTGGAAAGCTGCTGTTGAGAATGAGACAGGATTAAAAGTTAAATGTTTAAAGTTTGATAATGATGGTGAATACAGTAATACTGAATTTGTTAATTACTGTACTAAGAATGGAATTAGAATGCTTAAAACTATTTCTAAGACACCTCAATAGAATGGTGTTACTGAAAGAATGAATAGGACCTTGAATGAGAGGGCAAAAAGAATGAGAATTCATGCAGGGTTATCGAAGACATTCTAGGCAGATGTAGTGAGCACAACAACATATCTCATTAATCGAGGACACTCAGTTCCCATAGGGTTCAAGATTCCTGAGGAGGAATGGCAAAGCAAGGATGTAAGTCTTTCTCATTTAAAAGTATTTGGTTGTGTTTCTTATGTTCATGTTAGAGATGCTAATAAGGACAAGCTTGATCCAAAAGCAAGAAAGTGCATTTTTATTAGCTATCACTACAAGAAAAATGCTAATTTTCGACGAAATTTTTTGACGGAAAAGGGTCAATTTTTTACGAATTTTTTTTTCTGACGGATTTAAATCCGTCGAAAAAAGTGGCGTCGAAAAAAATATCCGTTTGAAATAATTTAATCCGTTGAAAATTTTCAACAAAAAATTCCGACGGAAAATTTTGACGGATATTTTCGTCGGACATTATAATTTTTTTTTTAATTTTAATAAATTTATTAATGTAACAACCCTCATATTTGGCCTATCAAGGATTCTATTTCACGACATTTCACTTTTTAGCGTGTTTTACCCTTACTTGCGCAATTTCTGAGAAACTTTCCAAAAGGTCACCCATCCCTATACTACTCCAGGTCAAACACTCTTAACTGTGAAGTTCTGATGAGTAAGCTACTGAAATGTATATATATGTTGTCAGTATACCTTGTACAAATTAATTCATTTAAGTCAACATTGCAGCAATGCCTAAGGCTAAGGTTCATGTTTCCCTCCTTCGCCTAATCCTCTCTCGTCTGGTCTTCTCAACACTGTTCATCATCCACCACTCCCTAGCTGACGTTGGCACTGCAGCCAAATATGGCCCTCCCTTTCTGCGTAAACAAATTAATCTTCGTTTCCATATGCAATTTGATTAAAACTTTGTGGAATTAATGTGTGTTGTGATGGCACGTGCAGCCACAGCGTGTTTCGGTAGAGACGCATCGCAGTTCCCCTCGAGTAACATGTTCGCTGCGGCAGGGGAAGCTATATGGGACAACGGTGCCGCGTGTGGGAGGCAGTATCAGCTGCGCTGCATCAGCGCCGTCGCTCCTGGAACTTGCACTCCTGCCCAGACGATTCAGATCAAGATTGTGGATCGAGCGCAATCAACGGTTTCCAGGCCTTCCCTAGGGGGAACTACCATGGTCCTCTCCACCACTGCCTTCCAGGCCATCGCAAATGTTTCTGCGTCCTTCGTTAACGTAGAATACCAGCAGTAAGTTTTTTAATTTCTATTTTAACCCTCTATTATTTACTTATTTACTTTCCTGATTATTTAATTCATTATGGTTATGTGTTTCGTGTTGGTTTTGTTTGGTCACCTATTGCCTGCATATCAAGGTTAGTTGTTGAAAAATCAAATGTTGAATATAAGAATATCAATGTTTATGACTTTCCACTTTTACAAAAAAAAAAGGAAAAGTAAAAGAATCTAGAATACTTCCTAGACTGGCTTCTACTTCTAAATGAAGCGTCAAAATCTGGACTTTTTTTTAAATACAATAAAATAATAAATACTTTTGATTTTATATATTCGTGTATTTTTTTAATTTAATCTATACATTAAAATTTTTAACTTAAATTCATAGATAATCATAAAAATATTTTATATGTTTATTTAAATTTATATAATAAAATATTCATTTTTAAGAAAAAAAAATTGTAAATTTTATTCATACATTAAATTTTTTAATTTAAATATTAGATAATAAAAATTTAACATACATCATAAATTATTAAATAGAGAGTTACTCTCTCTAATTAATTTTATCTTTCTCTTTGTAAAACTTTTTTAATCCAATTTTTGATGAATAGATTAGTGCTTATTAGTTTTATAAAATTGCGAAGCGAACATAATCTTTCTCCACACTCACAATATTACTGTGTTTGAAAAAGATTTTTCCTCCACTTTTCGTTGTTTCGATGAAAAAAGAAAGATTTAAATACATGTTTGATTTTTCTTTTAGGGGGTAGTCGTGTGATTTTAGGTTTTCAAATTTAATTAAATAATTTTAATCAAATTTTAATTGTGTAATTTTAGTTCTTTTAAAGTACTTCGGTCACTCAAGATATTAATTTTATTAGAAAAAAAATATTTTTACTTTATTTATCATTTTTAAAATTCAAGATAGCATTATTTTTTTCAAATATACTTTACTTTCTATCTAACTTTTGAATTATTTGCACATCTACACCTAGTATGTATTTACTGTGGAGTAAAAATATTAAAAATATATATAATATGAAAATTTAAAATTATTTTATGAAAACAGAATTATTACATTTATTGTTTTGTGATACTTAAAAGAAAATGGAAGTAGGCATTAGCAAACTTATTTAATTCCGGTATTTGATGAATGGAGGAGTAGTTGTTGATTTGATCAAAATGCGAAGTGAAAGTAATCTTTCTCCAATTTGTCCATTTGCAGGGTTTGAAAATGGGAAGCAGCTCTTGGATTTGGATGGCATTATGCAAAGGGAATGAGAAGCCAGGCAAAGTAGTTGCTCCCAAAATTAGTGTCTATAATGATTGCCTTTTGTTCTTAAGTATATGATCAAATGCCAAGTTTTTTAAAAAATAAAGTTAAGCCGGTTAAATTTAATCGACCGAATTAGATTTTACATGTACATATATACATTCATAAGGAGAAATTTACCTAAATTTATTTTATTTAGTAATTTATATTTTATATTAAATTTTAATTATTTAATTATTAAATTAATTTTTTAATGCATAAAAATAATATTTATAAATTTCAAAAAAGTGATCATCGGATTCCCGAAGAGTTTAAACAAGGGACATTAGGAAGTGTACTATGGTCTTAAATTTTTCGACGGAAACAAAAAACTGTCAGAAATTTTCGACGGATTTATAATTCCGTCAAAAATTTGTGACAGAAATATAAATCTGTCAGAAATTTTTGACGGAATCTTCTGTCAAAAATTTTCCATCAGAGATTTCTGACAGAATCTTTCATCGAAAATTTCTGACGAATTTATGTTTCCATCAAAAATTTGTATTTTCATCAAAAATACAAATTTCTGACTAAAATATCCATTGGGAATTTTCGTTGGAAAATTTATATTTTCCGACGGATTCATATCCGTCAAAAAATTTTCGTCAGAAATTTGCGTTTTTCTTATAGTGTATGGAGCAAATGATATGGGATATCGCTTTTGGGATGATCAAAATAGAAAAATATTAGAAGCATAGATGTTACTTTCAATGAAAATGTTGTGTACAAGGATAGACTTGAGACAAATGCTGAAGCTGAGAAGAAACCAACAGAGAAGCAAGAGACAATGTTAGATGACATTATAGAAGACGACATTATAGGAAAAGGTGAGAGCTCAGAAAATAGGACAGTTGAGGAGATCACTCCAGTCACTCCAGTCACTCCAGTCACTCTAGTAATTGAAGTGAGGAGATCTAGTAGAGTTATTAGACCTCCTCATAGATTCTCTCCCTCAACAAATTAATTGTTATTAACTGACGATGGAGAACCTCTATGTTATCATGAGATATTGCAGATGAATGGTGCAACCCAGTGGGAATTAGCCATGCAGGAGGAGATGAACTCACTTGAGAAGAATAAAACTTGGTGTTTGACTGACCTACCAGTAGGAAAAAGGGCATTGTAGAACAAGTGGGTGTTCAGGGTCAAGGAAAAACATGATAGCAACAAGAGATACAAGGCAAGGTTAGTGGTAAAATGCTTTCAGCAAAAAAGAGGTGCTGACTATAATGAGATTTTCTCTCCTATAGTTAAAATGACTACCATTAGACTTGTATTGTGCATTGTGTCTGTAGAGGATTTACATCTAGAGTAGCTAGATGTTAAGACAACATTCTTACATGGTGAACTCGATGAGAATATCTACATGGTGCAACCAGAGGGTTTCCAAATAGCAGGGAAGGAAAACTTGGTTTGTAAGATGTCTAAGAGTTAGTATAGGCTGTAGCAAGCACCAAGGCACTGGTACCTGAAGTTTGACAGTTTTATGAGTAAGAAAGGGTACAAGAAGTGTGCTATAAATTAGTGTTGTTGTTTGAAAAATTTTGGTCCATTCTATATCATATTACTATTATATGTTTGATGGCATGTTAGTTGCAGGATCTAATATGGATGAAATCAATAGAATGAAGGCACAATTGTCTGAAGAGTTTGAAGTGAAGGATTTGGGTGCTGCAAAGCAAAATTTGGGCATGAACATTAATAGAAACAGATCTGAACGTTCCTTAATATTATCTCAAGAGAAGTATATTGGGAAATTGTTAGAGAAATTCAGCATGCAGGATGCCAAAATCGTAAGTACACCTTTGGGGGTTCACTTCAATCTCACAAAGAAGCATTCACCTAAGATGGATGAAGACAAGGCAACAATGACTAAGGTTCCTTATGCATCTGCAGTTGGTAGCTTAATGTATGCAATGGTATGCACTAGACCAGACATTGTTCATGCAGTGGGAGTTGTTAGTAGATTCATGTCTAATCCAGGAAGGAAGCATTGGGAAGCTGTCAAGTGGTTGCTACGCTACTTGAAAGGTACTTCTAAGATTGCATTATGTTTCAGTAAGAATGATGTTATTTTGGAAGGATATTTTGATGCAGATTTGGGAGGTTGTTTAGACACAAGGAAGAGTATTACAGGATTTGTTTTCACAATAGGTGGCACAATAGTTAGTTGGATGTCTCGACTTCAGAAAAGTGTTGCACTTTCAACCACAGAAGCATAGTACATGGCTATTTCAGAAGCTGGTAAAGAAATGATTTGGTTGAAGAATTTTCTTGAAGAGTTGGGCAAGAAGTAGTTTGACAGTGCTCTTTATAGTGATAATTAGAGTGTCATTCATCTTGCAAAGAATCATGTATTTCATGTGAAGACAAAACACATCCAGTTGAGATACCATTTCATTAGAGGACTAATCAATGATGATACTTTGTTCTTGAAGAAGATCCCTGGGTCAGAGAATCCTGCAGATATGTTGACTAAGGTGGTTACTACTGAGAAGTTGAAAGTTTTCATAGCTTCAACTGACGTTCATGGTTAATTGTTGCGAAGGCATCGTACTAGCTTGGAGGCGCTACGGTTTTGAGGTTAACTAAATTTACTTTGAAGTGTCGGTGATGTGATCAGCCTCCAAGTGGAAGATTGTTGAGTATGTGGAGTTTGAAGGATTTATTGGGCTTGGCCATTTGCTTTCTTTCTTTTTTATATACTCATGTAATTGTAAACCTAATTACGAAATAGAAAACACCATCTAGTACGGCTGTGGACGTAGGTTATTATGATCGAACCATGTAAATCTCTGTGTCTTGTTAATTTACTTTCTCTCTTACAATTGTGTGTGTGAGTGCATTTGCGATCCCCAACAAGAAATACAAGAATAATAACAATTTTTGTACTTTAATATGTTAATTTGAAAACAAATTTCTCTTATAATTAAAAATATGTTGTAAGAATTGTTTTTCGTCATTTTTAGTTTAAAGTTGAAGAAACTGATCATCTTGTTTTCTAAAATAACAAATTGGGTAGAATCATTTACAAATTAGAATGTGTTTGAGAAAACTGTCAAAATTAGATTATTTTAATGATTGATTATATAAACAATCAATCTATTATTGTTATAATTGACTATAATCAAAATGAAAGTTTGTTTAAATAAATTTGCTGGAAAAACATTTTTAAGATATTTAATTTTGTTTGCATACAACAAAATAACTAATTTTATGTAGTAAATCAACTTAAAAGAGTAAATATTGTTGAAAAATAATCATAAATTTTAAATTTAACTTCATAAAAACAACTTATTAAAGTTATTTGCAAATTTAAGTCGATGTCTCAACATACAACTTAATAATCTTTTCTAAACATGGCATCGGTGGTAATGTAATATGGTTAGTGTAAAATGAGCTGTTGGTTATAAATTTTTTAGGCGAAAAAGTATTGCATAAACTTCTTTAATACGAAAAGATTATCGATTGAGAAGTTTTAAAATAAGAAAAACTTCTTTTATTTTGAAAAGAAGGACGATAAAATTAGTCAAAAACTTATAAATTAGTCAAAAATGTATATGTTATATATTAAGACCTGAAAAGTAAACTTATTGAATTAAAACATTTAATAATATTAATTAATAACTTAGTTGATAAATATAAAATAAATGACATTTAATTAAGTGTTACTGTAAGCAGTTTAAATACACAAGCAATGTAAAAAAAATATTAAATGACATTTAATTTTCAACACCTTTCTGGGAAATTTTCGTTAATACTCAAAGTTTTGACCTCAATTATCATTCCCATATTCTCGGAATAAGAATGCTTGTATCCCCTCAACACGTTTATTGTTTCTAGATTCTGATTGAGACATTTTCTTAGAGGATAGAATTTGGGCTTTAACTTCAAGTCTAACTGGTCTCACTCAACTTTAATATGATTAGTGTAACACCCCTAATGCATATATAAAATACATAATAATATCTTATGTTGCAATCATGAAATCTACTCATTAATATAAGATTCATAGTCATTCCTCAAGTTCGAAAAAATCAATAATTTAGTCACAAATTTTATGAGAGGAATTTATCCTAACTAAAATAGTTTTAAGTATTAATTTGTTTTTAAATTTGATGAAATTCTCATTTGCACTCAAGTTCACTTAACTTATGGTTAGAATTTATTTATTATAATGTTATTATATTTAGCATTAATAGTTAACTTAAGTATTTTATTTATTGTTAATTGTATTTTAAAGTTGGTACTTTATTTAGTTTGTTTATTTGTTTTAAATTTTATATATTTACCATTACCAACCTGGGTAAATAATAATGAAGTTTTAAGGCCCAAATTTACAAACAGGCCACACACTTTTAAATCTCTTATCACTTTTTTGGAGATTTCTACATTTTTATCCAGTTTTAAGTTTTTTTTTTTCCAGCTCATCGATGGTAGTTTTATGAGACACTGATAAAGAAACACTAATAAAAAATTTAAATATTTTTTGGTCTCTCAAATTTATGATACATTTATTTTTTGGTTCCTTAAATTTAAAATTAATTTTTAATCCCTATAATTAAAAAAAAAAATCTTGTTTTAGTCCCTTAAGTTACTGATAACATATTTGAAAATGACAGATTGAGATAGTTATACAGTATTAACTAGGTTTAATATGATATTTTTATTAACAGAAACATCTGTATGTAGGTTTTATGTGGCCATATTTGATAGATTTTTTTAATAAAATTTGAATATAAGAACTAAAACAATTATTTTTTAAATAACAAGAACTAAAAAGTCCAATTTTAAATTTAAGAAATTAAAAATAAATTTATCTTAAATTTAAAAGACTAAAAACATATTTAAGTCAAATTTATATTATATTTAGAGTTTTTATTGAGTTATCTCTCTCCTTTTATTTTGGTTTTCTTTCATTTACAACCTAATTTTTATCTCCCTCACATATTTTATAACATCAATGAAGTTCTCAAACTATATTAGAAAACATAACAGACAAAAAAGAAAAGAAAAAAAAATTGCACAACTAAATAGAACATACACACAAACCACGATAAATGTGAAAATCAAACTTAAGCTCTTA